TCTACTCCTATAAGGTGTTACAGTCTTGAAACGCACAGGGCAGTTCTACCCCGACCTACTGGGTCGCTATGCGTCAGCGCCGACTCCATGGAGATGAGTTTGGCTTTTTGTCTGTTTGTTAAGGTAGGAAGGGTGAATAAACTATCGTGACCTGACCGTCTAGACTAAGGTGCCACTGTCCCAGGGGTCTCCAAGGCAGTAACTGTTACCACAGCAGACGGGCAACATCTTCCTCCTACAGAACTGCTGGTGGGTCCAAACCAGCTGAGCGCTTCAAGCACTGCATCACCAGGCCTGCTGAAGGGATGAGACCTACCTGAAATTTTCTCCACGGGATACCCAGGCAGTAAGGAGCGTGGTTTGGGACTAGCAGAAGAAAAAGCTTTCTCTTTGCTGCAGAGAGCTTCAGCCATGGGCTTGTTTGCCTTGAGGAGAGAGTTTTCTGTCCAGAAAGTCCTCTTGTCAATGGCACAGTCATCACTGGTGAGGATGCTTGAGAGCCGGTGGGCGGAGGCTGGACAAGGAAGGGTGTGTCCTAAGACCTCTTGCCAAACTGAGATCCTCTCTTTCTGTGATCATGGCAATGTATTAACACAGGTCTTTGAGTTATTAGTACCTTTGACTTAAAAAGAGGAAAAAAAGAAAAGCATCATTTCTAACTTCCACTATCCTGGAGAAATAAACCTAAATCAGTTAGTATGTGGTCGTTATTAGAGGAAAACTTTTGATGGGATTTTCCTAATGCAAACAAATAGGAGTTCACTTCCATTGTGCTAGTGTAGCAAGTCCCACGACGGATAGAGGCAGATAAACGGTTTGCTTGCTTTGTTTTCAATTGCTGCTCAATTTGCATTTTAATGTGACTAAATCACAGTGTCTCTGATGACACTTTTTATGTTCCTTTCCAGTAAGATCATGGAGATACATTTGCCCAGTCACTCACGTCAGAGGTGTAAATGGATATTTCTTTGAAAGTTGTTCAGGAGATAATGAAAACCAGTCACTTTGTGAATTGACTTCTTCAGGTGTCGTGTTCAGAAAGCTTAGCTAACCACCCCACCTTCAGGAACGTGGACACCAAGTCTTGACCTTGAATGTCGAGGGAACGAGGTGACAGCTTCTACTACAAGTGCTTGCTCATCCCATTGTCTCTTTGGATTTTAACCATTCCATATTTGTAAGGAAACCAAATCAAATGGAGGCTTTTCACTTCTTTGAGAGAACATTACATGTTTATTGGACTTACTGATTTTCCATTGATTATTGCAGTCACAGTTTCAATTTGCAGTTCGTTCTTGCTACCATTGATATATACAAAAGCTTGACTTAAGAATAATGTATTAGAATCACACTCTCCGTTTCTCACAAAGATTGATTTCTCTATGTCATGCCATCACAACCCATTACCATCGAGTCAATCCCTACCCAAGGTGACCCTATAGGAGAGGGCAGAACTGTCCCTATGGAATTTGGAGACTGTAACTCATTAAAGGAGTAAAAAGTCCCACCTTTCTCTCTTGGATCTTGCAGTTAGCAGTCTGACTCGTAACCACTCCTCGCCAGGCCTCCTGTTACGCTGTCACAAAGACCTACTGAGTCTGAAGTTCCCCTCAGCTCTGCTCCTAAAGTAGAACCCTGCGACAGTAGCTGCAGATTGCAAAGCTGTTGTCTACACCCAGGAAGAGCGCATGCTCTGGAATCCAGAGAGTTTGGATTCAGTCCTGGCATTGCCTCTTACTAGTCCACTTGGCCCTGAGGCTGTTTCCTCGCTTAGTAAATGGATTGCTAAAGTTGACAGTTCAAATCTACCAGTCATTCCTTGGGAGAAAATTGAGGCTATCCTATCCTGTAAAGACTTACAGCCTAGTAAGTCCTTTTATCTAGGGTCACTATGAGTCAGAATTGACTTGATGGCAGTCGGTTGGTTGTGGTATCTCACAGAGTTATTGTAAGGATTATGTAATATACATGAAATCCTTAGCCTAGTATCTGACACAAAATAAATACTCCATATGTCAGCTCTGACTGTTTCAATAATAGTCATAATGATGTCACAAAAGACTTGAATATGTTCTAACACTGCTTACGATGATGATTGTACAACTCCCTGATGTGATTGGACTATTGAACTATAATGATATGTGAATTATATGCCAATAAAACTGTTAGGGAAAATAAAAGCAAAAATAAATAAGAAAAAAATCTGACTCATTTCCAAATACAACTGCAAAGTCGGATTCAGTATCCTATAATAATTCTGTGGTAGTTAATGAACTTGAGGGAGTGGAGAATCTGAAATTCAGAATTAGAAAGTGCGTCTTATTCACTAAAAAACTTAATATTGGGGGCACAAATATAAGCCCTTGGAAGAGTTAAAAACAAAACCCTGTGATGTGTTGGTGAGCACACACTTGAAATATTCAGGCAAAACCCCAAAATAGGCAGAGAATACAGCTCTATTCCCCAGAATGAGCTTGTCTCAAATAATTGGTTATTGACTTTGAGATAAGATCATATAGCAACTAAAACCAACACAGATGTCGTTAGCAGAACTCTACAGAAAACTTCACCGTCCACTTAAATCTACTACCCAACTACTAATGTTGCAGTGGAGTGAGTTCTGGATTTGGAGATGGAAGCAGCTGCCTCAAGTGCATGGTTTCCTGTGTATTGGCTGTGTGACTTTGGGCAGGTTACTTGGCTTTTCTGAACATTCATTTTCTCATGGAAAAAATGGGGCTAATTCCCTCAGTAGAATTTTAAATGTCTTGCAAGTGCTAAAGCAAAATGCTCTGAATATCCTGGCAGTACTACTGTGATCATCCGAGGAGCCCTGGTAGCATAGTGGGTGACCTGGTGGCATAGTGGGTGACCTGCTGCTAACTGCAAGGCCAGCAATTGGATCCCACCAGCTTTCTGCTCCCTTAAGGATTTACAGCCTCGGAAACCTACAGGGCAGTTCGCCTCGATCCCACAGGGTCACTATGAGCCCGAATCAACTCAAGGGCAGCGCATGTATTAGCATCCCATTAATGAGAAAAAAGTAAAGAACTGGACATTGGGAAGAGCAAGGATTTCCAGGGTTGCTATTTAACACCAGTGTGGCATCGATGAGCTCCCTGTGTTAGCTCTTACTGTTTTAATGATAATTATGATGATTTCACAAAAACTTAATTATGATGCTCTTGTCAGAGTTAATGACATCATGTGGCATCTGCCAAACGTTAAGTGTGTCCCCAGAGTGGTGATAATGCTCAACCTTCTGACTGGGTGAAAATCCGTGCCCTATCACAGATACTAGGTCTTGTTTGTTAGATGTGCTATTAGTGTTATAGCTTTCTGTAATTAACATTAGTGCATGTTTCTATTAGCCTTTCTCTGAATTTGGGTACATTGGTAGATAACAAAAGTCAGACTGGTTAGGCTAGGTGATACTCAAGTCTAATCCCGTCTTCATTTTCTAAAATATATGCTGACTCATTTTACCCTCTGCCTTCAAATTCATCAGTAGTTTCCATCATCAAATGTGTGGACAAATGGCTCCCAAATAGGCTGACACTAGGGAGACATTCTCACTTTTATATGAGAATGTGCAAAATTGTGTAAAGTGTCAACAACATGATCTTGTAGAGTTGAGAGCTCTTCCCAAAGTCGGATATACATAGTTTGTGCCATTGGAAGATAGTAGTTAAATCTTATTTTGCCATTTTAGCTCTCGTAAGTGTGCTAGTGAGAGCCTGGTTCGTGGAGTGGATGAGACACAATTACACATTTTAATGCAAACACTTAAAATATAACATGTAAATTAAAATGTTACATTCCTTTTTGCCAGTTGCAAAAGTTTACGCAATTAAGAAGCATTTATTCCATGATTTAATAAGAAAGCAAATCTGTGTGGTATATGGTATAGGTCACATGGGCATATGCCCATGAGTCATGAGACCAATGTTCATGTGCATGTGCCCGTTCTTCTTGGCTCCATTCCTTTAGCGACAAAAGGACTTCTTTCTGAAGACCAGATAGGCTTTTTCCAGAGGAGCAAAGTGGTCTCAGACCTGGATCCAGGGTACAATTTGGTTTTGGTCTCTGTTAGTGTCTCTCTCTTTCTCTGTCACTGCCACTGTCTCTGTCGGTCTCTCTCTCTCTCCCTCTCTGACTCTCTGGAATTTTCAAGTTCAAGTAGAAATCATTACTAAAAATACCAATGCTTTGTCTTGTCTAAATCATGAGTAAATGTTGAGAAAGAAAGGAAGGACTAAGAGGGATGAATAATCATCCACAGTTCAAACACTGGAACCTGCCACGTTCACTCTCAACTCAAACACCGAGTTTAAAGATTTACCTTCAAGGAACCTAAAAGCTTGTACCCGGCCTCATCGGCAGCAGCCGCAAACTGTTCCCTGTCATCGCCGAAAACAAATCTTTTGCTCGTTTCCGCCGAGGGGAGACCGAAGGACTGAGGGGGTCCTAGGTGGCTCAATTAGATGAAAGACTTGCCTTCCACCATGGAGACACAGGGTCTAATCAAGTGAAATGAGTTTTGAGATCCCAGCTCATTTCCTTGGGGAGATCAGTTCCCATTACAAAATCACGACATCTCATTCATCACAACTGACATGGTCTTTGCTCAGGAGAGGACCCCAACTGGGACAAAACCACCTGTCTTCTCTGGAAAAGGGGCACTTTATCCAAGTTAGAGTTGAAAGCCTTGGAGTGGGGAAGCTTACCAGTCCCCAGCTTGTACCCCCGTGGTGTAACATGCACCGTGGAAAGGAGCTTAAGTTTTAAAAATGGAAAGCCGAGTTTAAGGAAGATTGGTTGTTGCACTTTTAATGATGTCTGGGCATTGTCGTAGGGAGAGCCAGGAGTGGATCTCCTCGATTTTATTAAGCAAAAGTAAGAAGGATAAGCGTATCTATGCATCAGAGTTTAAGATGCCAAAGAAAGTGTCCTGCTTTCCATGCTGATAAATGATCGTCTTCTCTTTTATTTCTTTTCAGGGCATCATTGTAACACCCCTGCTACTGCTGCTGTTTGTAAGTACTTCCACGTTGTCTTTAATACCTTTTATTAAGAGCCGTCTACAACCCTTGTAGAAAGGTCATTAGAATACAATTGAAATTTGAATCCTTTTGCTCCAGTTTGCATCCCATTGTGCACTGTTGTCGGGAGGAGCTCTGTGAACTAAGCAATAAGACTCAGACACGAAGAAGCTACATAGCCTCCAGATGCAAGGGCAGCATCCGGGCCCAGTGATGTGGGCTTGTCACTTCTAGTGGAATCATTATTATCGCAAATGAATGGCCTGTGACACAGGTCACAACTGTGTCGTTCTTTATTTTCTCATTAGTAAAATTAAGGTGACTGATAGTGACCCGGTGTGTGATAACACTGGACAGAAAGAGCGTGGGCCAGGCATCAGGGGAAGCTTGAGTTCCAAAGCTGGTTCTGATAATAGCCAGCTCCCTGACCCTGGGGAACATTGCCCTAATTTCCCCACCTGTAAAATGGGACTCAGTAAGACCAACCCTCCGAGTATCACCCAGGGATAATGAAATGTGCTTTAGAAACAAACAAACAAAAACACAAGTAGTGTAACAACTGGATAACTGAACACAAAGTGTTCTGAAAACAAGAAATGCTAATTAGCTGCCTTCTTTCTTTTGGCACCAAGCATATGAAAAATTTGATGAAAGATTATAATAGAAATTAATGCTATCTCATGCTGAGCAAAGCATATGTAATCATGAATGATACCTAAAATATTTTATGAGCTGCATGTTTTTTTCAGACATCTCTCTTCCAAATATAAATCGCTTCCCTTACCACTGACATGTGTAGTGGGGATGCGTTGCTGGGAGTGAAGTGTAGCAGTTTGACTAGCACTATTTGTCATTGAATTAAAACTATAGGGAAAATTTATTTAATTATGGTGTAATTACCCAAGTTGGAATTCAATTAGAGTAATAGAGTGAAAGATCTCATTTCTTCCAAGCTGTGTAGGAACTAGAGAGGGATAGAAATACTAACCAGTTGAATTTTGCATCTTTCATGAAAGGCATTACCGTCAGGTATATGCAAGCCTAGCCTTCCCTTCTGAAATGCCAACTCCATACTGACAACAGGTGAGTCTAATCATCAGATCACTTCTGTTAGCATCACTCTCAAACAAACTCATGATCAGCCAGTTGATTCTGACTCATCGCGACCCTATAAGACAGGGTATAGAACGGCCCGTGTGTTTCTGAGACTGTAACTCTTTATTAGGGGAGTAGAAAGCTTTATCTTTCTCCCTTGGAGTGGCTGGTGGTTTTGAACTGCTGACCCTGTGGTTAGCAGCCCAGCTCACTACACCGCCAATCTCATTAAATTGGACTCCACCAATTCAGCACGTGCAGCAAGTCAAATGGAAATGCAAGAGAGTGTTCATTTGCATTAATTTGGAAGAAAAGACTTGGTGGCTGACATGATCTATCAGTGTTTTTTTAAGACCAGGGATCACAAGGGCAATTTTGGAGTCTTCAGTAGGTGCAAGGCGGGGGCCAGTCTGAGGCCCACCCCTTTATAGTTGTAGGTGCACAATCCAAGTTGTTTCCACTGCATAAGAATGACACCTCCCACTTATGTGACTCTTTCAAGAGATCAAGAAGAAGGTTCTACTGAAATTAGGTGGTTGAGAATATGATGGTAGGGCTCAGAATCAGGATTCTCTAGCACTGTTTCAGCTTATAATTGAAGCATTCTCTCTCTCTCTCTTCCCTTGCCATCTCCGTGTTATTACAAAACTTCTCTCAGCCAATGGACAGTATGGCATCACAACATTGTACTCACAGATTCATATTTCAGTTCATTTGAGTTTGTTCAACATTTTAAAATAATAGCTCAAAGAACAATGGAAAACTCTCCTAAATATTCCCCTCTGAGTGAACGGGGCTGCCCTGTCAGTTCAGTGGCATCAGCTCACGACATCAACCCAAACGTCTCTGTTTTATGGCTTTAAATAGCATCATGTTTGATGTCATACTTTTTGTTTAAGTTGCCGACATGTTTTCAGCAATGGGAATTTCTTGAACACATTGGCTGCCCGGCTCCATTTTCTGCATTAACAACCTGAGCAACTTAAAATACGAACATATTCCATAAAAGGCGGCTGTTTTTAGCCCTGAAAATTTGATTGGCTTATATTTTGAAAGTTAAAATTTCTGGAGATTCAGGTACAGAAACTAGTGAAGCCTTATTTGCTGACGGAATTCCAGCCTCCTGTGTCTTTACACCCTTCTCAGAACATGCCCTCGCCTTCTTAGGCCCCAGAGTCCGATCTCATTATTTGTATTTCTATTACAGCCCTCTTTTATATCACCAAACCTTGAAGTGGGCTAAGATGTCTTCCTTGCTCCTGGTTGCCCATCCCAGATCACATCCCATGCTTTCTGCATGGGGTCTCCCAGTTCTGCCCCTTTGTGGCTGTGCCGATGTGGTTATGTTACCTACTATACCCCTGTATTATAATTATCACTAAAACCTTAGGTTGTTATCCGTCAAAAAAAGCAAATGAAATTAACACCCTATTGTCTTCTTAAAATACTGCAGTTGGATCATTTTGGTATCTCAAGAGTAATACAGTTAGTCATTCCAAAGCCTTCTCTTCTAAATCTCTGCTCTTCGCCAACAAATGTGCTCTCTACTTCACCTTAGCTGCTCGCCCTGTGAACAGACCCTTGACTTCATTCCTGTCAATAACTACATTACTCCACAATCCACAGTGTTAAGTGTCTTCTTCTCGGACCAGCATCCTCTGTCTTGGTGGCTGCTGCCCTGTAGAACCAAAACAGTAAATCCATTGTGATTCCATTCTGACTCTTAGCAACCACACAGGACTGCCCCATCGGGCTTCCACGCTGTCATCCTATGGCTGCAGACGTCACATCTCTCTCCTGTGGAGCAGCTGGTGGGTTCAAACCGCTGACCTTTTGGTTAGCAGCCCAGTATTTTAACCACTGTGCCATCCGGGCTCTTTTGATTCCCTGAAGTACTCCCAAATCAAAATCTCTCCGACCTTGCTGGAATGCCTGGTTCATTCACCCAATCACCGTTATAATGTCTCTAACTATCCCCCTACCCTACCCTCATCCCTTTTCCCCATGGCCTCATAGTCCATCTTACCTGGCTTATGTCTCGCAGTCCATCATCATTTTACTTTTTATCACATACACCATCAATGACTTTGTTCATCTCTTCTCTCCCACCCCCCCACCCCCACCCCATTACCTGGCAAAACACTAAACTTTGCTTGAATCTAACTCGTTTACCCTCTCTGCATAGGGACCTATGTTAGCGTAATAGGAACGTGGCTAGTCTCATTTCAAATTCATGACCACTGACTGTAAGAGAACCCAACAATCTCTTTACCTTCCCTTAATTAATTGACTCTCCCACTTTAATAGGGAGCTATTTCACACCTTCTCTTTGCTTTTGTCTCTGTACAAATCTCAGCTGATTAAAAAAAACCAGCTGGTGGAAAAATTAGAAGCAATTGAAGAAATTCGGCAAGACCCCCACCTACTTACACCTGTAGCTGTATTCTTTGCCTCCCCTTCTGTTTCCATGTCTTTGCCCCCATCTAAAGCCAGTTCTCCAGGTGTGTGCCAGATGCCATTGCTTCTTGCCTGTGTTACATAAGTTCCCTAGATTTGCTTTTCTTCTATATGATCAAATTTTCCTTATCTACTGAATCACTTTCATCAGACTATAAGCATTTTGCAATATTATACAACTTAAAAATCACCCTACCAGCAGTTCATTTCTATGATCTCTTTTAAAGCAAAAAATCTTCAAAAAGTATATTTATACGTATTCATCACTCATGTTAGCAGCCCTGGTGTCATAGCGGGCTATGTCTTGGGTGGGCTGCTAACCCCAGGTCAGAAGTGTGAACCCATCAGCTGGTCTGCAGGAGAAAGCTGAGGCTCTCTGCTCTCATAATGATGTACAGTTTTGGAAACCCAAAGGAGCACTTCCTTTTCTTCTGTCCTATAGGGTCGCTATGAGTCAGAATCAACTTGATGGCAGTGGGTGGGGTTTTTCGAGCTACCACTCATTTGGTAATATGTCTGGGCTCCTGCTGTATGCAAGGACCTGTCCTGAGGACTAGGGAAATAGCAAAGGACAAACAAGATAGATCATGACTTGCACACAGTTTTCATACAAAGAAATGCAAAGACATGAGTAAAAATATAGTTTTTAAAAAAACCAAGTCAGATGGGTGGTGCATACTCAAGAACAAAAGTAAGGGTGGGGAATGAAAAGTGCCAGAGTAGGAGTGGGTCTCAACTAGGGTGCTCACATGGTAGGGCTCACTGAGAAACTGATATTGGAGCCAAGGACTGAAGTTGATCATGCGAGTGAGCCTTCTGGGGGATGAGTGCTCCAGGTAGAAGGAACAGCAAATGCAAAGGTCCTGAGGTGGAGTGTGCCTAGTGTCCCTAAGGAACAGCAAGGAGGCCAACGTGACTGGAAGGTCATGAATAAAAGGGGTGGTGGTGGATGAGATGAAACAAAAGACACGGTGGTAGTCAAATTATATAAGACCTTGGAGTCCTATGGAAAGACTCTGAATGTTAATTTGAGAAATTCAAGAAGCCGTTCAAAGGGTTTTGAATGAGGGGATGTTCTGACATCATTTTCAAAAGGATAATTCTGCTGGTTGGGTTGAGGCTAGATTGTGGTAGGAGCAGGAAAGCTAGTGTCATAATCATGGCCAGAGATTGCTACTAACTTAGACCATGGGGGTTAAGACTATATGAATGGAAATGTTTGGAAGAAGAATTTGAAAGCAGAACTGTGAGGAGAAGAGACAGATCCAGGATGACTCCAGGTCTGAGCAAGTAGAGGGGAGGGGCTGCCATTTCCTAAGATAGGGAATCCTGTGGGGTCGGACAGATTCAAGGGAATGCATAAAGAGTTCAGAATGGAATACGCTTGGGTTGAGATCCCTTTTAGGCCTTCAAACTGAGCAATCAGGTATAGAATTAACTAC